TCTCCTTAAGCACTGATGACTAAAATTAGGGTTTGAGATTGCACAAGGATAATTGAAATTTTAATTCCTCATATGACTTTCATGGATCATTATGGACCCCCAAGATTTCTCATGTCAAGTTTCAAGTCTTGGATCACATTTTTGCTCAGTCAATTGAGCAGTTGACCTAAAAATCAATTGTATTGGAGAAAAGTCAGTTGTGGCCAATTTACAGTAAAACTTCATAATGTTTTATCCATATCAACATTATAAACTCATATGTATCATTTGATCAAGTTTGGACCATAATTCCTCAAGAAATTTGATCAGATCATCAAAAGGGCAAAATGGTCAAAATTAGGGTTTTTACTGAGAAAGGACAATTTCTGATTTTTGACCTAGAAAATGATTAATTGGTTGGAGACATGATATCAAGGTTTAAATTGCATCATTTTGACCTAATGGCATGACTCAAAACATCCCTCAAGATCAATTGATTGATAGTTGATTTTCAGTCAACTGATCAAAAGTCAACTGTACACTAAAAAGTCAAACTTTGACTTTTTGGTCAAAATCAAGTGTCAAAGATCACAATTCATCAAAACATGTCAAAATATGAAACTTGTTCATCAAGAAATCAAAAAGTCAAGATTTCATTTTGAAAAGTCAAAGTTTCCAAACTTAGAAATTTTTCTAAGTGTTGAAAACTTCATATTTTTTCACAACTTTGAGCCAATTTTTCACCATCATGCAAGATGATTCAAAAGAAACTTTCAACATGAAAGTTGTAGATATCCATGAGATATAAAACATTTATTTACACAAATTCTCCTAGAAATTCTTGTATCTCAAGTTATTAATCCATGTAGTCATGGTCATGAAACTAAAACACTTAGTGAAATTTTGAGCTTTTTTGGTCAAGATTTTGACCTAACTTCTTGGCCAAGTTTCACATAGTTCCACTTGGATTTTGCAAAAGTGATTCAAATATGGATTATAAATCACATTACAAGCTTTCCAAAATATCCAAATAATCCTTGAGATCATTCTTGAGGAAGGATAATCGAAGAGATGAAGTTAGGGTTTCAAACTGGAATTATAGGTCATTTTTGTGATGAACAACAATTCAAATCTCAAGCCTATGTTGCACAATCTTGCTTTGCAGGCCTCTAAACCTTAAAATCTCTCCCTAATCAGAAGATTACACTTTCTTTTGAGCTATTATCCATTTGATTCAAACTTTATCCAAGATAATTTTCCATTAATGGCGCAAAGGCACCATTGCCATTTACATAAAGCAAGCTTTATGAAAAGTCAACTTGCATTGAGCTTTGCACTTGTTCCTTCTGCACAAGCTTCCTCTACAAAGTCTAGTAAGCATGTTTAAAGTTGGTAACCATTCTAGATAGCTTTGTACCTTGCCTTGAAACCATACTTGTCAAGCTTGCTTCAAAAACAAGTCAAAATCCCATAACTTGTGATCTGGTGATTCTGACCACCTCAAGTATCCAAACCTTTTCCTATATATCAAGACACTCTTATGAAACCTGAAAAAGGGGGATCAAGCATTCCAAAACACTCCTAAGCACTCTACAACTTAGAATTTTCCACAACTTGACAGTTTTGAACTTCAGATAGACATCTCCATATCCACTCGTGCATATTGAGTTTCAACCATCCAAACACCTTCTATACATCACATAGCAGTGATCCAGGCCTTTGTTGCTGGACTGTAACTCCATTTGCATAATCCACCATTTTCAAAAATTGAGCTTGCAGGTCGACTAGGTTAGAGGGATTCAAGATCTTTCAAAGCAAAGCAAGGGTTGGAATACACTCAAGGAGGTCTTGACAAGCTAAACAGATCATCCAGACAACTTAAAAGTTTCTAAAACTCCATACTCGACTCCAGCTGCAAGAGGTAAGTTTTCAAACTTCAAAATCTTGATACAAGCATCTTTTGTGCATATATTCTGATGCAAAAATGTAGATATCATTACCCTGAAGCTGTACCTATCCATAGTTTTCATTTACATGGCTTGAGCTTAGAGAATTTTAAGTTTGAAGTTTCTGAAAAAATTAGGGCCAGAGAAATTTTCATTCATCTTTGATCTATAGCTTTAGTTGTTTACATGGTTAGATTCGTGAGGAAAAATAGCACAACTTTCATGTTTGCATTTTCCATTTTTGTTGAGAAATGAATGAGATACAGGTGGTCTGGCTAGCTGAAGGATGAAGACGAAGTACAGGTCATGGAGACATTTTACATTATGTATTTATTCTTTCATTTAAGTTAACAAATGTACATCCACCCCAGTGGTAAGGCAGCGCGCGTTATTGGTAGAGGCCGTGGGTTCGAACCTCAGCGCCGCCTTTTGCATTTTTTCACATTTTTGTCATTTTTCCTTTTTTTGTTTCAAGTAGCGCTTGGGCCTCCACCCCATGGGCTTGACTTTTTTCCTTAACATTACCCCCCGTTTGCTTCATACATGCAACCTTTTCTTTTATTTATGTTTCTAACAAAAAAACTGCATTAGGCCAGACCATAAACTTTTTTTACATACATACACTCAAAATCTGTTTTACACCCCTGACTTCATTTTCAAATTTTATTTCATATTTTATTTTTTATTTATTTTTTTTATTATTAATATTAATGATATTGTTATTTTTATTAATGAAAATCCCACAAACATTTTTATTTATTATTTAGGTAATAATATATTTATATTTTATTTCCTTTAAGACCAAAAAGACAAAATATTTTCTTATACAAATTTAATTTATTTTCTTAAATAAAATAATAATTAGAATTAGGTTTAGTTTATTTTCTATTTTAATTAAAATTAATTTAGAAACTTAGGATTTTTAATTAATTAATTTTTTCATACTAGTTTAATTTAATTAAAACCCTTTCACAAAAAAACTTCATAAAAAAACCTAAAAAATATTCTTTTAATTAACTTAGTTTAATTTTCTTACTTTTAAGTTAATTAATTTTCTTCTAATCAATTAGGTTAAAACAAAAACCTTTTTCTAAACAAAAATTCAAACAAATCCATTACTTTTTCCATTTATCATTTTATACTTTATTTTAATTCTTGTACATCATTCAATATGGTTGTAATAGTTAATTAGATTTAATTTTATTGCAATTCCCCATTTGTAATTGGTATATCCCCTCCCCCTAAATGGTGTAATAGCTTAGTATTTTTATTTTCCGCAATTTAATGCTTTATATACAAATGCTAGTAATTAGAGTTTATATGAGAAGATAAAATCAATGCTTAGAAAAAACCTAATCAAGACAAATCAAGCATGTAAACCAATAAACTTGCATACATACACACTTAGGGTAAACCCACTTTGTTTCCTTACAAAAATGGCCATATTATGCATGTGAGGTGTCTTAGCAAAAACAAGCAAAAATACAAGATCATAGTCCCTCGATGACGCTATCCATGTTGCCTTTCAAAATGATCTTAGTCCCTAAAGAAAATGCTAAGATATCTTAAAACATTTCTAATCATGGCTATACGATGACCCTTGCCCGTCCCTTTTACATCCAAAGATAGGGTTTCTTACCAAATCAATGGTAAGATAACAATGTCAAAGGAAAGAGGAAATAAACATGAAATACTTTTGAGTAGGTAGATTATTCCTAGTTGCTTGCTCAATTTCAAAACCAAAAATATCCTTGCTATTTTTAAAAAACAAACACCAACACTTTCAAAACACCTTTCAAACTTGAAAACATTTTCAAAAGATCAACACCTTCGTATACATTCTTACGAACGAGAATCATTACAAAGTTTGCCTAAATGATGGCATCTTTACAAAATAATTTCAAAAACCATACAAAACATATTTTCAAATAAAAGCAAGTGATCTAGCAAGAAACTAAGAGCCCATGGATGAAAATGGTGCTAATACCTTCCCTTTTTATAATCTACCCCTCGAACTCAAGAAAACATCTCAAAGGTCTTTCCTGTTCTTTTCAGTCTTTCCTTTTGGATAAAAGAAAAGTCGGTGGTGACTCTTGCTAACCGCAACATTTGCGATCAAACGCAAAACAACCAAGTCAGTTCTCCTACCGCGTTACACTTATACTTTCCTTTGATCCACGGTGTTGCTTCACATTTATGTTACATAAGTTCAAATCGAATATATGGATATCATTTTTATTTTATATTTTATAAAGGCTATCAACTAAATTTGTGGCCTCGATTATTTGGAGGCACTCTGTTACAGACCTGGTTGCACGGGTCTAAATCCAACCTTGGAGATTAAACAAGATACCAAAATGGATGAACCTGGTTAAGAAAAGAATTTCTTATTCAATATAAAAGGCAAGAAGACAATGACAATGACAACGTTAAAAAGGAATTTGAGATTAAGGTGGACTGATATAAAAATTGTATGATTAACCAACACCATCACTTCATTAACTAATAATTTACACTTCATTAACCAAATTTATTTTAATATTAAAAATTATTTTTAATATTTGAGCATTTATTAACCAATTTCATCATTTCATTAACCAACAATTTACATTTTATTAACAAACTTTATTTTACTAAAAATTATTTTTAATATTTAGACGTTTACTAACCAAACTATAAATTATATTAACCAACTTCTTACACTCAATTAACCCATTTTGTGTCACCATTGTTCATGCATTATTCACAGTTATTGTTCATATCAATTTTCACTTTCATGTTATTGCTTACGGTATTTGTGAACTATGAATACGGTGTAGGTGTAAAGAATGGTGTAGGAATAGCATAACTGATTTTTTAAAGCATTGGTGTTTAATCATTGACTGAAATTATAGTTATAAAAATATGTTTTAAAACTTTAGGTAATCAAAATAAAATAAAAACATATTTTTAAGATCGTAAAAAAATCGACAATTACGGTTCGGTGAATCAAACAGAAGTTGTACGACGGAGGTCCATGGAGTGGTGGCAACCAGAGTTTGCTTGGTAGCTGAAGGGGAGCTCTGTCTAGTGTTGATGTTGGTGATCAAGAAGCGGTATGTCGTCAGTGGTGGTGATGGTCTGGGTGTGTCTCGGGATGAGTCGATTTGGTTCGCATATCACTTCGGTAATGGATTTTGTTTTTGGCCCGCTTTATAAATGGTTCATTAGGATATGAGAATATTATAAATATGCATCTCTATCACTTTTGTTAATTAATATAAAAATACAAAGTGAAAATATAATAATCCTAGTTAGAAATACAAGGGTATCTTGTTCAATCTCTTTTGTACCTCGTCGTGTTGCAAGTTCAGAGGAAGGTGGGAAAAATACGTAAGAGATTGAACAAGATACCAAAATGGATGAACCTGAGGAAAGAAAAGAATATCTTATTCATGATGAAAGGCAAGAATACAGTGATAATGACAATGTTTACAAGGAAGTTGGATTAACACTAACATTGAAGATGTTCCAATAGATGTCAAAGACAATCTGGAGAACGTGTTGGAGAATGACCCTCCAACACATAATGATGTTGAGCCAAATGTCTCAAACATAAATGAAAAATTTGAAGCTGCTCATGTCTAGAATAATGTCAATTACAAGATCATGACAATATTGATGATGTTGTTCCTAATATTAATAATAATGAAACCACAACAAAATCTACAATTAGATCGAAGAAAAGGGTTGAGAATTTTTTTTGTATTGAAACCTAAGAAGAACTCTATGAAAAAGTAAACCACACCTACCAAGAAGAGGAAAACTCCTAAGAAGAAGGAGGATGTTCTAAAGAAACAGAAGTATGAAGGAAAAAAGTGTCATTGAAAAGTCTGGTAGTAATAAAAAGCCTGAAGGAAGAAAAAAATGTCGTTGAAAAATCTTGCAGTAAGAAGAAATTTGTACTAAAAAAGAAAAATCTTTCAAACATGGAATTTATGGAGGGATATGTTAATGACAACCCAAATGACATGATGGTTCCTTTGAATAATAAAAATAAGAGGGTCGTGGGAGATAAGTAGTTGCATGAAAATGTTCTAGCTATACCCCTTAACAATATGGATTTATGTGCTTGCAGGGCATGAAGATAAAAGTTTGACAAAAGATCCATCCAAAATTTTGATGACGACAACACTTGACAATAGTTTTCAACCTCAATGATGATAGCATAATCAAAGAAAGCATCATATGACTCATCATCAAAAGAACTCAAGATAAAAGTGCATGTATAATCAGAAACTAAATAGCAAAAAAATTAAAACTTTTGACGAATGGTGTGAAAGCTCGCCATGTCATGTCTGACGTTCTGTCTAAGTGAATAGGGTATTATAAAAGTAAGGAAGTAGATTAAGCGTAATAAGGAAAATCATACACTAAATTAAAACATATTTCTAAATATTTCTATCTTGAAAATGATTTTCTAGCCAAAAACAAAGTGAGTAAAAAGTTATCCTAACTATTTTTAAATTATCTATTTGATTAGAAAAAATGTGCCAATTGATTGGAAAAACTTTTCAAACCAACCAATTTATTGGGACACTATGATAATAGATAGAAGAGTGTCAGTCGATTAAAGAATCAACAATGATTGCACATTAATGACTCGCAACGACTCATATCCAAACCTACCTATTTGGGCTTGATAATCGATTATAACTGAGTTACCTAATCAATTGGAGCATTTTTTCAATCGATTAGATTATTAATTATGCCCATGGATTATTTCCATTCTTAGTTTTTCCAACTACTATATTAGAGAGGCACTTTAAATTATGCCACTTCCAACAATTTCATATTTCTTTGGAATTTATCTCTCTTCTCTTAGAAAGTATATTTCTTTCACATTATATTGCCTTAGTGATAGTGAGTGAAGATTTACTTGTGAGGAAGGAAGTTTTTGTAAGTGGTCATGATGGTTATTTATATTCTTAAGGGTGTGATAATATTAAGAGATTGAGTTTGGTTCTTGAGCTAAACCTGTCATAAAATCTATGCATTTGGTTTCTTAAGATTTGTTGGAAAAAGCATTGTTTTAGTTATTGAGATAAGTCATAAATCTCTAAACGGTGTGTTAGCTTAGCTTGGGATAAAAGCTGTCATTGGTTAGGGATATGAATGTAAAAATCTCAAGACCATATTGTGATCGGTGGATCTGGAACTGACTGTTTAACGCTGGTTTCGCGAAATGTCGCGGTAAGTAAGAGTCGCCACCGTCTTTTATTTTCTCCAACATGGAAAGGACAAAAGCACAGAAAAATTCCTTATTGAGATTGTTTCTCGGTTCGGGAGGTAGATTTATAGAAAGGGAAGGTGTTAGCACCCTTTCTATCCATGGTTATCCATGGGCTCTTAGATACTTGCTCATTTGTGTTTTCAAAGTGTTTGTTTGCTTTTCAAAGTGTGAGTGGGTTTGAAAAAGTTTCGTTTAAAGTTTCAGTTCGACTCTTGTATCAGTCCTCAAGAGTGTTTGAAAAGTTGTTTTTGAAAGCTTTTTGCAAAGTGTCGGTGTGGAAAGAAGTTTTGATTTGTTTTGAATTAGAGAAAGTATCTATGAGTCGTCTACCTACCCTAAGGAATTATGCTGTGTAAATGTCCTTAAGGTAGTGCCATCCTACCATTGAGAGATAGGTAGCACCACCGTTGGAGGTGTTCGGGTCAATTCGTTTGTAGGGACAGTGTGGTCACCAGAGCAACAGTAGGACACCTTAGAAGCTACCCTTATGCCATTGATCTTTTTTATTCCGAGGCAACCGTTTCGAGGCAACTTGTTTCGAGGCAACGAGATCAATGGACACAAGGACTTACTAAGACGTCCTATACTCGACGACCACGTTTCGAGGGGCAAGGCAACAGTGTGATCACCAGAGCAACAGTAGGGCACCTTAGAAGCTACCCTTATGCCATGTTCATGGACATAAGGACTTACTAAGATGTCCTGTACTCGACGACCACGTTTCGAGGGGCAAGGCAACAGTGAGGCGTACCCTAGGAGTGGTGTGTGAATTGTGTGTCATTTTCAGTTATTATTTGTCTTGTCATGCATTAGGTGAGCTACGCTTTGATTTTATTTGGACATTCATTCTTTCATGTGATAATTAACAGTTAAGAGGTGCGGGATTGAAAAGTTCTACGCTATTACAAAGGCGCGGGTCTACATCGCCAAATTAAACAAAGACCCGATTTGAAATAAAGTGCGGAAAGTAAACATCCTCATTATCTATTACAAAGCTTCGGGGCACATACATTATATTTAAAAGGAAATAAAAGTAAACGTGCGAAAAGAAATAACAATCGAATGCGAGGGCGTTGGACCCATTAAAGGAATTAAATATGAAATTAGGAGTGAATTAAATAAAATAAAGGAAAGAACTTATTTTTTTATGTTTTTGGATTTATGAAATTAAAGAGAGAGTTAATTTGGAATTAAAAGTTGAATAAAAACCCTAGTTCTAAATTGTTTATTAATTTATTAAAAAATTTAAGTTTGACCTAATTTAACCTAACTATTTAATGTCGAGTTTATTTACAAATATAATTAATTACTAATAATAATAACGATAAGGAAATAAATTATTTATTGAGGAAAAGAATAAAAAAGCTAAAAGACCTATTTTTATATATTTTTAATTATTTAAGAAAGAAGCATTAAAGTTAAAAACCTAAAATTAAAACTAAATTGATTGACAAAATTTATTTACAAAATAAATATTAGTGAATTAAATAATAAACATATTTTATTTTTGACTTTCTGATTTTTTGTATTTTTGTGTTATAAAATTTATTTTATGAATTAAAAGAAAATAATTAAAACAAATAAAATAAAATAAAATAGAAAAAAGAATAAGGGAAAGAGATACAAACAAGAGGGGTGTTGACCCAAATTTGGAGGTAAATTCACAGCAATTTGGCCCAATAAGCGTAAGGCCCTGTTTGACTTCTCTGACGTGTATGCACATGGTTGACTGAGGGTACATGGTGGACTGTGTGATCTGGCCATTGAATGGACCTCCCTGGCGCGTGGCAGCTTAGATGGTGAGGTTGTATGATGTTCCCTTGTGAATATGCTGCACAGAAGCGTGTTAAGGAAAAAAATATAGAGGAAGAGAGGGGACATGGGAATCGAACCCAGGTCCCAAGGCTTGCCAATCAGATTCCCAACCACCACACCATTCAACGCGTTTGTATGTATCATGAAAAACAAATATTATAAAAATAAACCACGCTAATGATATTAACACAAAAAAAACGCGCTGAAAATTTGAATGATCCAACCATGATATGACACGCAGGCTTCTTCCTCGTTGTTCCTGTAAATAGAAAAGAGATAGCGGGGGTTTTAAACCCCCACTAAATGCATCCTGCGAAAAATAGCGATTAGAGTATGTTGAACCATAAATTGAGCCCGAGGTATGAGCTTGCTTCATCTTGACACAACGAGTTTTCCTGCACTGGTTTGGTGATCCAATTTTACACCTTGTATAAAGCCCCAATTTTGGAACTCTGAAACCCTAAAATCCGTCAATGGTGAATCACGCTACAGGCATTATTAATTCAAGTGATTTATGTCATTAGCTTCAGAAAGAGAACATTAGCATAAACCACTCAAGAAACATGATTAAAAATGCATGAATTGTCATATTGATTTCAAGAATTTTGGGCAGACCGTATGATTTGTAACTTCTGATTCTCAGCGCGTTTGGAATGACTCTTGGTGCTGACAGGTTCCTGGAAGGCCTACCAATGCATTAGGATTGTTTTTAGACCTTGAATTGTCCCCTAACCATGAAATCAGTTTTAAGCTTTTCAATGAAAATTTGCAATTTTGTTTGGCCTCCTTGAGCAGCTTTTCGTGTGTACTGTATCAGGTTTTCATTGTGCCCATATGTATGAATGAATTAGGGTAGAAATCCCAGCCCAAAACCTTTGCATTGATGATTCAAATATTTGATATTTCCATATCTTTTTTCAATCCTTTTTCCATTGAAATCTTGCCAAATTTAGATGATTTTGTCTCCTTAAGAAGGTGCACAAAATCTCCATCACATGTGGAAGGTATTTGCTGCATAAAAGGATTTAAAAACATTGATTTAGTATTTTTGTCATATTTACTTTTAATTAAATGAATTAATAGATTTAAAATTCAATTAATAAATTAAAAATATGAAAATAACTCCCCTTTGGGTCAATGGGTCGTGCCTAGCCTTTGGGTGATGATTCTTGGAAGAAATTGTGGCCCATTAGCAATTTTGAGGCATTTGGAGCAAAGTTGACTTTTCAAAATTCCCAAAACTTTCCCAACTTCCACAAGGCATATCTTGCTCAATTTTTAAGCTTTGATCATGTTCTTGGACATTTTGGAAAGGTCTTGAAGTCCTCTAATCAATTCCTTTGGTCCCATGTCAGTTTGATTTACCAATATCAAGTTATGGTCTTTGACTTAAAGTGCCTTTTTGTTGACTTTTGAAAATGACCTATAATGTTGAGATTGATAACTTTTTGTGAGAGAATTTCTTGGAATTGAAGTGTGAAGAGGAGTTGTAGGAAATGTCATTCTCTTCAAAATGAGCTTTGGATGGAATTTTTATGAT